GATTGCTAGTATCACTCAGCCCTCTGTGAACAGTAAACAGCCATCAGTGTGCTAATGATCCATTGTTAGGCTGATGGTCCTTCTTGATCATGTGATCAGCTGGTTTTGGTTGTCAGCAGCAAACTGGTTGATCCACTCTGAGAAGGTGCTATTTAAGAGACTGAGCTGAATACAGCTCCTCAGACTGAGGAAGTCTCTTGGATGAGAGACTAAATGTTTCTACATTTTTTTAGTTTTATTTTTTGAATGTCCAGAGGACCAGATTGAGCTTTTTTAGATTTTTCTTCCTGGATTATTGAGCAGCATCAGGACACTTTCTACAGTCACTTGGTATCCCCATCAGTTTGCATCATTTCATAACTTTTGCTTTATTTTTTAATGAATTTGTAACTGTGACATTTTTCTGAACCAATGTTTATTTTTAAAAAGCATCAATACAGTATAAAAATATTTGCAATTTAAAAAATAAAAAATAAATGCAGGGGATAAGGTTATTTTAGTAATGTTTAACATTTGATCCTTTTTTTATAGCTTGATTATTTTATAAAAGTGTGCACAGAGGATATTTCAGATTTTAAAAGGTAAAAAGGAAGCTTCACCCTGAGATGATGATTTTCTTTAAAAACACTCGTTCAGCTCGTTTCTTCTGCACCATCATCTGGAAGCAACAGGCGAGCTTTAGACCAGTGGCTCCCAAAGTTGGGGCCAGGACCTCAATGTGGGTCATGTAACACAGAGCAAGGGTCCTTAAACAATCTCCAGATATCAACTTGAATGTGAAAATGATTGCTCAAGGCATGATTTCATTGTATTCATTCATAACAAAGAGTACAAATAGTATAGTGGCTGTTGAGACTGCTTGTTTTGTCATTATGCCTTGTTTTAGTACAATTATTAGTAATATTAGAAAATCTGAACCAGCAACAAAATGAGACCAAGACTGTGCCACTCTCATTTTGTAAGATGGAAGCTAAACGGTTTGGGATCCATTGATTTAGACTGTACTTTTAATTAATTTAACTTGGACTCACTACACATTTATTATTAATCACCACATGTAATTTTTGTTTAAGTAGTGAATGCTACTGGATGCCTCAAATTTCCCCCCTGGGATTAATGAAGTCCATCCATCCATCCATCCATCCATCCATCCATCCATCCATCCATCCATCCATCACACAGTGTACATGTTGTTCCTTGTTAACTCTTAACACACCTTCAGTGGAAGAGCTTCGACATTTCTTATTCCCAATGTTTTTTTACAATTAGATCTGTTTTTAAATACAATTAAGGGTTCATGTCCGTTTAAAAGATGACATTTGTGTAAATTCTGAACAGAAACACTACAGAGGCCTTTGATTTGAGTTTAATGGTTGTGTCTCACAGCTCCAGACTTACTTTCACCAACCCTGATAAGGATGATTTGGGCAGATACTCTGTGGTCGTCACTGACACAGATGGTGTTTCTTCCAGCTACACTCTGACTGAGGATGGTAAAACTTCTAAACACAGTTGCTATTTGAACATAATTCCCAGCCTTAAATCCCTCTGTACATGTTGTTCCTTATCGTGTTTGCCCTCTCGGTGTGTTCTGCAGCCTTGAATACCATGCTTGAGCTCAGCTACGCCATCAAACATCCCAGTGAGTTTTGGTTCCCGCCTCAGCATCACCTCGTTTCTTTTCCTGTTCATGTTTTAAAACCTTTCGTTTTCTGTGTGTTGTGCAGTCGTTCCTCTCAAACACAATCTCAACTATGAGATTTTGGAGAAAGGACATGTGCGTTTCTGGGTCCAGGCTGTCAAGCTGTCTCCATCCGTGTCCTACAGGTTCATTGTGAACGACAAAGAAGTCACCAGTGGGGAGGTATAACACCAGCACTCACTATTCTCTCAGGCTCTCCAAACTAACTAAAACATTCAAGAGCAACTTGTCTTCTATTCTTTAGATGAGGACATTTCGCTTCTCATCCAGTGAGCTTTATCAAGTCAAAAGAACTGGAGAGTGTGGAATGAGTTTATTCTGCATGTGAGTGTAGCTTAAATAACGAAGCATCTCATTCAGTTTAAACCTTAAACTCCACCATCTCCAGTTTATTGAAAGGATGACTAAGAATCCGCACCAGCATTTTTTCTGTTCTTCTATGGTCTGATCTCTGAGAGTTTCAAACATACACTTGTCCAACCTCTGTTAAAAACCTGCTCTAGATCATGTGATTCTTGCAAGTTGGAGGTTTTTTTTTTTTTAATCTGTCTAAACCATTAGAAAAGATTGTTTCCAACTAATTATTGTACTTTAATGGAGCAAAATATTTTTGAGGTTCTACAGTTTGGTTCAGACAGGTCTGAAGGTTTCTGTGTGTTACTCGGAACCAACAAAGCTTGCAGACCTGGGCATTGTACGGCCCCAGGGCCACATGCGGCCCTTTGGTTGACTCTCACCGGCCCCCGTAAGGGGAATTACAAAATACATATGTAAACAAATGAAGTTAACCAAATCCAGATATAGATCCTCTCTCACTGATGATGTCAGCTTTGCTTCACATCTCCACCTCAGACCTTCAACCTGACTTTAACATTTCTGTTAAAGCCCAACAGAGACTAGACTTCTCTCACTAAACAAGAAAAAAGAACTGATAAACACCAAATGAGATGTTTAGACTACAAATGTAGGCACGTAAAGAACCGGGACTAGAAATCACAGTTCAGTGACGATCACTATTATATGATGTTTCATAATATTTGGAGTACAAAGACAATATTGTGATATATTTACAAAGATAAGAACTTTTTCCAGCAGTATATAAAACTCAAAATGAGTTTTGGGGTGAATGTGACTGAAAATGATCATTAATATAACATCACACATGGTAAAAATGTTAACAGTTTACCATTGTACTGGGAAATTTAATTGAATAAATGACATTTTTTGTAAGGAAACCTCGCTTTTTCGTTGCTTAATCATAACAAATACTCTTACCAGCTTGTTAAAACAGTGCTATGTACTGCTTTTAATAATGAAATACTAATATTGTGCAGTATTGAGTTAAGTTGAAATCAGGTCTCTCTTGTAAATGAGTCCTCGAGGCTCAATGGGATTTACCTGTCTAAATAAAGGTTGAATGAAAAAGTCATTTGTGCCAGCCCTCCACAATATTTGTTGTTTCTCATGTGGCCCCATGGAAAAAATAATTGCCCACCCCTGGGTTTAGAGTGTAATGTCCACCTTATTCCTAGCCACCGCGCCGCCTTGTGTGAGTTATGGGCACAATTTCTGGCATGGACCAGAACTGGCTTTTGTTTCTGTGTGAACAGTACGAGCTAACGTAGTTTCTCTGAGCATTGTGGAATTAATTTAAACATGTAGGAACACCACTTGTCAGAGGTCAAACGATATGATCATAACACTGCCCGCTGCAAACGAGGGATGGAGGACAACCTGGCTGCAGATTACAGGTGCGGGCCATAAAATTAGAACTTCATGAAAAAGTTGATTTATTTCAGTAATTCCATTCAAAAAGTGAAACGTGTAGATTATATTCATTCAATACACACAGACTGATATATTTCAAATATTTATTTATTTTAATGTTGATGATTATAACTCACAACTAATGAAAACCCCAAATTCAGTATCTCAGAAAATTAGAACATTACTCAAGACCAATAAAAAAAATAAAAAAAAGATTTTTAAAAATGTTGGCCAACTGAAAAGTATGAGCATGAAAAGTATGAGCATGAAAAGTATGAACATAAAGTATGAACATAAAGTATGAACATGTTCAGCATCAATACTTAGTTGTTGCTCCTTTTGTCTGGATTACTGCATCAATGCATCGTGTCATGGACTGGATCAGTCTGTGTCACTGCTCAGGTTCTGAGAGTCCAGGTTGTTCTGATAGTGGCCTTCAGCTCTTCTGAATTGTTGGCTCTGGTGTATCACATCTTCCTCTGCACAGTACTCCATAGATCTTCTATGGGGTTAAGTTCAGGTGAGTTTGCTGGCCATTTAAAAACAGGGATACCATGGTCCTTAAACCAGGTACTGGTAGCTTTGGCACTGTGTGCAGGGGCCAAGTCCTGTTGGAAAATGAAATCTGCATCTTCATAAAGTTGGTCAGCAGCAGGAAGCATGAAATACTTTAAAAGTTCCTGGTAGCTGCTACGTTGACCTTGGACCTCAGAAAACACAGTGGACCAACACCAGCAGAGGACATGACCCCAAACCATCACTGACTGTGGAAACTTGACACTGGACCTCAAGCAACGTGGATTCTGTTCCTCTCCTCTTCCTCCAGACTCTGGGACCTGGATTTCCAAAGGAAATGCAAAATGTACTTTCATCAGAGAACATAACTTTGGACCACTCAGCAGCAGTCCAGTCCTTTTTGTCTTTAGCCCAGGCAAAATACTTCTAATGCTGTCTCTTGTTCAAGAGTGGCTTGACTCAAGGAATGCGACAGCTGAAACCCTTGTCTTGCATACATCTGTGCGTGGTAGTTTTTGAAGCACTGACTCCAGCTGCAGTCCACTCTGTGAATCTCCCCCACGTTTTGGAATGAGTTTTGTTTCACCATCCTCTCCAGGGTGCAGTTATTCCTATTGCTTGTACACTTTTTTCTACCACATATTTTCCTTCCCTTCACCTCTCTAGTAATGTGCTTGGACACAGAGCTCTATGAACAGTCAGCCTCTTTAGCAATGAACTTTTGTGTCTTGCCCTCCTTGTGCAAGATGTTGATGGTCGTCTTTTGGACGACTGTCAAGTCAGCAGTCTTCCCCATGATTGTGTAACCTACCGAACTAGACTGAGACCATTTAAGCTTAGATTCATAACTGGCTGTAACTATCGTACCCACCACTGCACCCAGTATTCACTGGTTAACTGGATACCATTAACTTCACGCAGACTCTCCCACTGGTACATTTTCATCTTTAAATCACTTCCTGGTCTGCTGCCTTAATACATCTCCTAAGCCCCTCCATCTGCAACTGGGTACTAGACTTTTTAACAAACAGACCACAGTTAGTGAGGATCCACAACCTCTCCTCCTCCACCATAACCCTCAGCACTGGCTCTCCTCAGGGATGTGTGTTGAGCCCCCTCCTGTTTACTCTGCTCACATATGATTGTGCAGCTACCCATCCAGGCTGTCACATTGTAAAGTTTGCAGATGATACAGCGGTGGTGGGATGCATCACAAACAATGATGAGTCCAGCTACAGGCAAGAGGTGGAACACCTGGAGAGCTGGTGCAGAGAGAATAACCTTCACATCAATGTGAAGAAGACAAAGGAGATGATTGTGGACTTCAGAAGGAACAAAAACACCTACACCCCCCTGAACATAAGAGGATCTGTGGTGGAAGTGGTCTCCAGCTACAAGTACTTGGGTGTGCACCTGAACAACAACCTCAGCTGGAGCAACAACACCACCAGCCTGATGAAGAAAGCTCATCAGAGACTCTACTTCCTCAGACGGCTGAGACGAGCTGGTCTGGAAGCTCAGTCCTCACCTCCTTCTACAGGTGTGCAGTGAAGAGCATCCTGTGCTCCAGCATCAACGTGTGGCATGGAGGCTGCACAGCTGCAGAAAGAAAAGCTTTGCAGAGAGTGGTGAAGGCTGCACAGAAGATGTTGGAGTCAGTCTCCCCACCATCACAGACATCTACACCTCCAGATGCAGGAAGAGGGCCACCTGCATCATGAAGGACCCCACTCACCCAGCACACACACTTTTTGCCCCACTCCCCTCAGGAAGGAGGTTAAGGAGCATTAAGTGTAGAACCACTAGACTGAGGAACAGCTTCTACCCTGAGGCTGTTAGACTCATGAATCTCTAACTAGAATAATCACTGTGAAAAACCACATCATGTTGCTGCTGATCTGTTTCATGTTGCTGCTGATCTGTTTCAATGTTGATGTGTTCATGCGTGCACATCTGCTCACAGACTCATGTTCATGTTTGTGGTGATGTTCAATGTTTTATGTTATGAGTGCTTAGTGTATATTTAGTTGATGTTTTTCTTAGTTCATATCTTAGATGTTATTACTGTTTTTCTTATACATTTTATTGTTGGATGTAACTGGGACCCTGTGTACATAATTTCGCTCCACCACATGAACCACATGAGGTGCGAATGACAATAAAGAAACTCTGACTCTGACTCTGCAGAACAACCAGACTAAACTAAATCAGTGGCTACAACAACAGAGTTTGAACACGGACCCAAAACAAAAAGAGTTCCTGTGAAAAGAGGTTTAGTTTCATCTCCTACCTGCAGATGAGGAGTTAAGAAGAATGTGTCAGAACAATGTGAACTTGAAGAGAACACCCAAAACTCTGCATGTGAGCTCATTTCACTTTGTTGAAAAACGGCCGACGGAGGAAAACCTGCATCCTACTTGTACTGATATGCCTCAGAGGTTTTCAGGTTGTTCATCGCTTCACCATCAAAAGAACAGAGTCAATGAAGTAGCTAAATATGCTAGTAGAAGTAGCTAAATATGCTAGTAGAA